GCTAACAGCGAATACACCATTTTTGACCATTTACATGTCGCAAATTACTCCAAACTACTCGCATATAGTTTTTCCGATATTCACGAAATGCTGTATACACATTGCTATTATGATTGCACACATATTTCAAATTGCTTTTCATTAGCCCCGTTCCCCAGAAAGTCGGCAATTTTTAAATATGTGCGTTTCTCATGCATTTTAAGCACATTTTTGCAAACTCCTCCTAGGGAAATGTTCGGAAAAATTCCAATCCAGGACAAGTTAAGCGCATATCCAATGTCATGCTACATTGAGAAGGAACAGTCCTTCGCTCGAACGGGGAGCTCGTAGGCTAACGGAGAATGTAGAATTTTTGACCATTTATATGTCAGATAAGCTACTGACACCTGCTTGTCTGCCTGGCACATCAACTCTCACACACACTCACAAACAGAAACACACACACACACACACACACACACACACACACACACACACACACACACACACACACACACACACACACACACACACCTACTGTTTGTCCAACAACGCCCTTTGCTGGCGGCATATTCATTACAACAGACACCTATACACTCCCTAACCCTAACCCTAACCCTATTGTTTATTTGTAGATATCTCCTAAAGCCTACAAATAAAGTGTGAAATGTAGGCCTGTTACATAATAATTATTGAGCAATATATATTATACATACTGTTCTGCTTTCTGCACTGACCTCAGCAGCTGTTCTCACTGTAAACATCGCGTCACAATGAAAGCAGTTGTATAATAAATAGCCTAACATCCAGGGGAGATGTGATTAGTGAGTAAACAAACGGTTAAGGGCAGAAAGTCTGATGCACATTTGATCATCTTAAATAACTTATAATCACAACGGGAACAGTTTGCAGAGCTGTGCTTTGTTGACATAAGTCCAGCCATGCGTCACGCCTCTTTTAAACATCCATGTTGGCTGAAATCGACTCCGGAGAATACATCAGTGTACCCTCGGTTATAGCTCCTCCAGAGAGACTCCTCTCTCCTCTCTCCTCTCTCCTCTACATCTTTGTACCCTTGGTTAGAGCTCCTCCAGAGAGACTCCTCTCTCCTCTCTCCTCTAAATCAGTGTATCCTCGGTTACGGCTCCTCTAGACAGCCTCCTCGATAATCGATCCTCGACGAGCCTTTAGAGAAATTAGTTTTCCTTCGAGACGGCGCACCGACATCCGTTTCCGGGTCGCTGCCGGAGGACCTGGGAGTCTGGGACGCAAAAATTATAGAAATGACAAACGGCTCATTTCGGAGGACTCGCGCACGTCTGCTTGACGCCGGGACGACCGGCCGCCCTCCCCGACAGGCGCACGGACGCGAGGGCCCGCTCATCACTGCGCACACTTCTGTGACCGCAGTTTTAATTTACATTTTTTTACTATGTTCAATCTGAATTTACTTTAAAATAAAAACATCTATATTGATTCTGACTTTTCTACATCCAACTCACAGGTTTATCATTGCTTTGAGAAAACATTATTATTAATTTACCCCTTTTAGAAGTGAAGTTATAGTCATTTGTTCTGGGAATGTCATTTTCGAGCCTGAGGTTGCGGTCGGATAATCCAAAAATCAGCTCCTAACGTCTAACCCTATCGTCTATTCCTTGACCTCTGAGTGAAACGTCACGGGGTTAAGGGATAAGGGATAGTGGATAGGAGAATTCAAAAGGACTTAGGAGAAGAGACTGCGGTACTTTAGAGAATCCGACTGCACTTCCACTATCCGACGTGTTTATGATGCACCAGCGGACGTCATAAATGTGCGCCTGCTGCTGTGGGGAAACTATGGAAACTACAGTTTTCTATACAGCGGACTACAACATGGATGTTTAATAAGAACGAGGGACTACTGTAAACTCATCTAGAGACTCTGCACCGTGCTCTGATGCTGTTGTTTTATGCTTTATGAACGGGGACAACAGAGAAACATATTCTTCATGACCAAAAAGTGAAACTTATGCTCGTCACCCTCTCCCTCCGGTCCACATTAATACAAATGATCCCAATACGTATGATTGTATGAAAAGATCTTAAAATCAATACAAATGTATTTATTATAAACGTTAGTCCTTAACATCTATCACTGTGTATATCACCATTCAAACATCTTTTAAAAGTTGAACGACCCCCACACAGCTCAGTAAAGACTGTGAAATGTTGACTTTATTTGATCATTTCAGTAAAAACTAACGTTCATATTTCTCTTTTTGATTATAATACTGATGAACGTTCAAAACAAAGCACTTTGGCAAGTTACCACATACGTTTTAAAATGCTTAATAAGCACAGTAACTTTCATGATATCATTTCTCGGTCATAATCGGTTGTTTTCGTGAGCGGCCGACTGTTGTGTGACGGCAAATGCCGCGGCTGCAAGGCATTGTGGGGCAGCATTTTCTCCTCTCCTTTCGGTGAGGGAGGTCCAGTGGTTCCTAAGCTAAAGGAGGTTATAAAGGAAGTTTGAAACCTCCTTTCCTATCATCTAGAGAATTTGAACGGCACTTATCATGGCTGCCACTGAGGGACTTCCGGGTCATTTCACTCCGTTAGGAAGGTTCCTAAGCTAAATGGACTATTCGACTTCAGCCTGAGACCTGAAAAACAGGCTTGGGGCTTAACAGGCTAACAGGTACACTTGCTACTTAACATAGACAGCACACTTTCATTCAAATCTCACATCAGTAATATCACTCGGTCTGCCTATTTCCATCTACGCAACATCAACCGCCTCCGCCCGTCCCTTAACCCTAAGAGCACCGCCATTCTTGTTCACACCCTGGTCACTTCCCGCATTGACTACTGCAACTCCCTTCTCTTTGGTCTCCCTCTCAAATCCATCCACAGACTTCAACTGGTCCAGAACTCTGCCGCCCGCATCATCACCAGAACCCCCTCCATTAACCACATCTCTCCTGTTCTTCAGCAACTTCACTGGCTCCCCGTATAGTTTTTAAGATTCTGCTCCTCACCTTTAAGGCCATTCATAACCTCACTCCTCTGTACCTCTCCGACCTCCTGCACATCAACACACCCATCCGCACACTCAGGTCTTCTGCTTCCCTCAACCTCACTGCACCCCCCTTCCGTTTAACCACCATGGGGTCTAGAGCCTTCAGCCGCTCTGCACCCCGCCTCTGGAACTCCCTCCCACCTGACATCCGCAATACTGACTCTCTCCCCATTTTCAAATCACGTCTCAAAACATATCTCTTCACACTCACATATCCACCATGATCATTATCCATCACACATCCTCTGTTTTATTTAAATTTTTATTTTAGCCCGTTGGGCTTTTTAATCCGGCCCGCCGAATATTTGTACAAAATTGTCCAAATTATAGTAAAGACCGCATTCATTTTGCCTTTTTCCTGCAATACCCGGCATTTCAGTTGATCCCAATAGATGGCGCACTCTAGACACAAATTACCTTTGCTGGAGTCGGCAACCCACCAAATACGTCACGCTTACATTGGAGGGGGTCAAGATTAACCTGAGCAATAACAGTTCACGGTTAGTAGTACAGCGAATACAAATTGTAACAAGCAGTAGCGCTGAGAAAAGGGACTAGAACGCGACCACACACTTATATAAAGTCAGGCAACACTAACCAGCTTAGTGTGATTCTGTTTATGTTGTGTAGAAAATGGTTTATGCCACAATATGATAGCAACAAGTAGTCGAGATAGTCTGATTAGCTTCGGTTGCTATGCTAACATCACCTGTAGAATGCCAGAGAAACTTTCATAACAGCGTTGTGATGCCAAACAGCGTCAATTCAGACTGACACACATTCACTTAAGGGGAATTGGGGATATGTATCAGCTGCTTTTTTGACAGTCGGACAGTGAATACTTTACAGCGGCCGCTGCCGTGAGTTAACAGTAGAATAAATGAGCAGCACTGCAGTGGTCGGTAATGCTGCTGAACCACATTAATAAACAATGCACCACAGCACTCTAGAGAAAGGTATAAGGTTGGAGAAGTAGTTCTTTAATTGAATCTGGCTTCGTATGATTAAAAACGATCCGACACAATCCTCTATTGATGTTGTTGTGAGCGGTGTTGCGGAGAAAATCAGCGACGTAAAACTCTGTGTGGGTCATAAGAAGGCACGTAAACGGTTACGTCATGACGCAAACGATGACGCAATGACGCAATAACTCACCTTTGAACCTAATTCACCTTTGAACCTGCAGCTGTAACAATGAGTGGACCAAAGAAAAGAAAAGTCGACAATGAGTGCCGAGTGTTTAATGAGGAGTGGACAGCTAAATATTTTATCACCGATCTGCTACTGGCCCGGCCCGTCTGTTACATTTTAAAACTCATAGTGGACCCCGAGCCAAAAAGTTTGCCCTCCCCTGTGCTAAACCCTCTCCAGCTGTTTGGTACAGGAATGCTGTTTCTGTCTGTAATTCAAAGCCAGTTCACAGCATTTCTTTGGAGTAAGGCCATGGAACTGGCCAGCAGTTTTTGCATCTGGTTTGAAGCCCCTTCTCTCTCCTGTGTGAAGACCCTCTCTCCTCTGCTGTTCCTCTGTACCTCCTGTTTTCACTTCCTTTCCTCCTTCCTTTTTATGTCTCTACGCAGGGTTGACATGCCAATATCTTTGTCTTTTGTCACTGCTCTGACGGACAACAATTGTGCACAGTTCCCTACATAAAGGGGGTGGGTCAACTTACCAACTGGCTCATCTTACCCCACTTTCACCTAGCGTATTGTATCGCATCATATCCTATCGCATCATAACGTGGCGTATCGCATTGTATCGCATTGTATCGCATTGTATCGCATTGTATCGTATCGTAATGTATCGTATTGTGTCGTATCGTATAGGAAAGAAAAGTCAAATAAATGTGTACGAACTGGCCGATTTATCTTTTAGCAACTTTTTTTTATTAATGTTTTGGTGTTTCTGCAGGACCTAGTGAAGAGTAAAGATGTCTTGTTAATGACCTGGTTCTGACCTGATAGTAGTTATTGATACCGTAGGTGCATGTGTTATTCTTGATACACTCTGTGAAGTCCCATCCATACTGACAAGCTAAACCAACACAAGCCTCACTGGGGGGGGACAGGGACAGGGTGTCGTTCAACAGGCCGGACGCGTCCCGCACCACACAGGATCCTGGGGGAAGAATTACATGAAAAGCTATTTGAAGTCCTGAACAAAATTATTGTATTCATATTGTCTGTATGGGATAGACAGTATTTCAGGATATGAGATTATTCAACTTTTGTCATTATACTTGCAGACAAAGAACATGAATACAATGTGGGAAAGATAGTATTTTCAACCTGCTAGGAAAACAAAACAATACCTGTAAGAGCTGTAAGTCTGTTATGGCGCATTTCCACTACAGCGCGGAGCGCGGTTTAAGCGTGCCGTAACATGCCCGGCCCGTTTTTGGTTGCGTTTTCCGCGTAGTTCCGGCTAGCGGGTACTTTTTCACAGTTTTTCTGGCTCTCCAAAATCGAGGTTCTTTCCGGGCCAACAACCGGGCTGAGTATGCTAAACTAGTGAGAGAATCGCTGGCAACTACAACAAAATGAACATATTTTACCGTGATTTAATTGTAATACACGTTTCAAAATGATGCCAAAGTAACAACATACTGATACCGGTTAGTAAAAACCATGAATTAATGCTTTGACAAGTCTGCAGACAGACGGCAGGCGAAAAACCTTTTAAAATGCGTGTTTTCTGAATGGAGATCGGCTAAGCTAACGTTGTATATGCTCCGACCGTCCACACTCACAACAACGGCCTACAGACATAAATAAAGCAGCGACTGTATTCGCCATGACACAGACAGTCTGTGGTTTGTACTTGTTTAACTTTTGTCTAGTTTCTGAACAGATATGAGGAGCTGTGAGCTCTGAGGGCTAACAGCTAACGGCTGATGTTGGTTTTGTGTTTTGCATTGAAGATGATGTCACGGCTCCGCCTACACTGCGTTACTATAGTTACTACCCCAGTTCCTAAACTGTAATGGAAACGCAGCATAAAGTGAGCCTGGCCTAACAAGGCCTAACGAGGCCTAGCCATACCGTACTAAGCCGAGCAAGGCCCTGCAGTGGAAAAGCGCCATAAGTGAGTTTGAAGGTAAAGTACCGATTGTTGCAGAGATGATGAGGTAGGATATGGTGGTCCAGAATATTGCTGTCAGTGTTCCTTTGGGAATTGCCTCTGTTGGATTCTGGGAAGGCCAGAACAAATAACAAGTACATACGTTTGAAATTGCCACACACGTATTAAGAGTTGTCTCTATGTACATACAGGAACAGGTTAATGTGTGAGGCAAGCAGTCAGATTTATATACCACTGAAAACAACAGACAGAAACAAAGGTACATACCTTCAGATCTCCAGAAATGTTAGCTCCTGCCAGGATGCCAGTAGCAGAGGGGAAGAAAATGGAGAACATGCCGAAGAAGCTGCCCTCTGGTCCCTGCCACCTGGGCACAAAGTTTTCGACAAAGATATCCGCTGTAGAGAGGACATTTTCCGTTTACTGCACAGCTGACAGTGAGACACTGATGATTGGTTATCCTTGCACTGTGTAAAAACAACCATGCACAACCTACTTCACTGCTACTACTATATTAAAACAGTAAACTGAGAACGGAGCAGAATTAGAACTAGTCCCCCACTTCAAGTATCTTGGAGTCATCCTGGACTCGAACTTGACTTTTAAGAAACATATTAAGAAAGTATCCAATACCGTTAAATTCAACTTGCAAAATGTTAAACAAATCAGACCTTTCTTAACTGTCAATGCTGCAAAGTCATACCTCCACTGTATGATTCTATCCCACATTGAATACTGTTTTACAAACTGGTCGTTTGCTTGTGCCACAAACCTGAAACCCATAGAACAGCTGTACAAGAGAGCTATCAAGGTGTTTGACAGAAAGCCTTATTCATACCACCACTGCACCATCCTTGATAAACACCATTTCTTGAGTTTTGACCATTTGAAGTCTTTTAAAAGTATGTGTTTTATTTATAAATGTCATGGACTGCCCCCCCCCCCCCCCCCCCCCCCCCCCCCCCCTCCTTAAGGGGAATTCATCCACAAAAAACACACTGGACGCTGCACTAGGTCAGAAACCAGAGGAGACTGTGAAGTCCACCACAGACGGACCACTTTTGGACAAAATATCCTCTCCATTAAAAGCAGCTCTTTGTGGAACAGCCTCCCAACTGAGATACGGGATTGTTTCACTCTCAATAGTTTTAAAGGTCAACTCAGGGAATGGTTAAGAAACAAACAGACGTGTAATCACCGCTAACTGCACTTTAACACAGGGGTATCTCCTCTTGCACTTTAGGTAGCTCTTTTTTTTTTTCTTGCACTTTATATGTCATAGCTGCTATAGTGTACTGCCTTGTGGTAAATACTTGTGTATGCTGCTCTTGCTCTTTTGCACTTTTTGCATATCATGTATTTTGTTTTTGCTATGTTTGTAAAATGTAATTTTCTTAAATGTTTTATGTAAAGGACTGCAGATGGAAATGAGCTCAAAGCTAAATCTGGCACTGTTACGCTTAACACATTTGACTGTTTTAAGTGTTCATTACAGTGCATTGTCCCTGCCAAATAAACGATTAAATAAATAAAACAGTCATCCAACAACAGTCACCTTTGTAGCTGAAGAAACCCTTAGCTTGTTTTTCTGGTGAAGCAGGGATAATCGTTCCAACAATGTAATCTGCCAATGACACCATGATGACCAGGAAGAACAGAACCTGGGCCTATGGAAGGCAGAATAAACAGTAAACACATGGACACAGACAAACATGCCAGAACAAGCTAATCTCACTTACTATACTAATACATAACCTTTTTTTTTGTTCATGCTAACTACTTAGCATGCTTAATACAAACACAATGATCTCTGAAGTTGCTCACTGCCTTTATGCTAACTTAAGCTTATTGACTGGCTGCTCTATATGTCAATAAATTAGATCGGTTTCAATAGTTTCATCTAACTCTTTGTGAGGAATAGAATGGTATGAGAATTAAATCAGTCACTTCTCTAGCATTAAAGGTCACCTATTATGCAAGATGGCTAGCTGAATCCCCTCTGTAATCAGCAGGATGTCTACAGGAGTCAAAGTCAAAAAGTCAAAGTCAGCTTTATTGTCAAAAATTCTACATGTGTTATACATCCAGAAATATCGAAATATCGTTTCCCGCAGTCCCACAGTGTGACATGTATACATAAAACAAAACAAAAAGGGCCTAGATAAACGTGGTATACATTAAACAAAACAAAAAGGGCCTAGATAACCGGGGTATACAGTTTAAAATGTTAATAATATATTTAAAGTGTTCAAAGTACAGTTTCAGTGCAGTAGCAGCGGAGATGGGCAGAAAAGTGACTGGTGCTGGATGAGGGAAGGTTGTGTGTGTGTGTGTGTGTGTGTGTGTGTGTGTGTGTGTGTGTGTGTGTGTGTGTGTGTGTGTGTGTGTGTGTGTGTGTGTGTGTGTGTGTGTGTGTGTGTGTGTGTGTGTGTGTGTGTGTGTGTGTGTGTGTGTGTGTGTGTGTGTGTGTGTGTGTGTGTGTGTGTGTGTGTGGGAGGTTAAAGTCCAGGACCATTTGGGGCAGAAAGGTGGGAGGTAGGGTGGAGAGTTCAGGGGAGAGATGTCAGAGAGGGGGAGGGAGGGGAGAGAGTTCAGCATCCTGACCGCCTGGTGGAGGAAGGTGTTGCTCAGCCTGGTGGTGCGCGAGCTGAGGCTGCGGAACCTTCTCCCTGAAGGCAGGAGGCTGAAGAGGCTGTTGGAGGGGTGGGTGGAGTCACCCGCAATGCTGAGTGCTTTGCGGGTGAGGCGGGTGTTGTATATGTCCTGTAGTGATGGGAGTGAGGCACCGATGATCCTCTGGGCAGAGTTCACTATGCGCTGCAGGCTCTTGCGGTCGGCGCCGGTGCAGCTTCCGAACCACAGCGTGATACAGCTGCTGAGGATGCTCTCGGTGGCGCCTCGGTAAAAAGACAGCATGATGGGGGGTGATGCTCCGGCTCGCTTGAGCTTCCGGATGAAGTACAGGCGCTGCTGGGCTTTCTTCGCTAGTGTGGTGGTGTTGTTTTTCCAGGTGAGGTCATCAGTGATGGTCACACCAAGGAATTTGGTGCTGGTCACCTGCATCACAGCAGTGCCGTTGATGGTCAGGGGGAGAGGGGGTCGACGGTGGGTTCTCCTGAAGTCAACAACTATCTCCTTAGTTTTCTCCAGGTTGAGGAAGAGGTTGTTGTTTTGGCACCACAAGGCCAGCTGGTTCACTTCCTTCCTGTAGTTAGTCTCATCGTTGTTGCTGATGAGACCCACCACAGTAGTGTCGTCTGCAAACTTCACGATGTGGTTGGTGCTGAAGATGGGTTTGCAGTCGTGGGTCAGCAGAGTGAAGAGAAGGGGGCTGAGCACACATCCTTGGGGGGCCCCCGTGCTCAGTATGAGGGTGTTTGAGGTGTTATTGTTGACCCGTACAGCTTGTGGTCTCTCTGTGAGGAAGTCCAGCAACCAGTTGCAGAGAGAGGGGCTGAGGCCCAGGTCTGTACGTTTTTGAACAAGCTGCTGGGGGATGATGGTGTTGAATGCTGAGCTGAAGTCTATAAATAGCATTCTAACATATGGGTCCTTAGTCTTAGTCTTAGTCTTAGTTTCCAGGTGTGTGAGGGCTGGGTGGAGGGCGGAGGAGATTGCATTCTCTGTGGACCGTTTAGCTCGGTAGGCAAACTGAAATGGGTCCAGCGATGGGGGGAGGGTGGATTTGATGTGCTTCATGACCAGCCTTTCGAAGCACTTCATGATGGTAGAGGTTAGTGCGACGGGGCGGTAGTCGTTGAAGCCGGATGGAGATGACTTCTGTGGCACTGGAAAGATGGTGGTTTCCTTGAAGCACGAGGGAACAACAGCCTGGCTCAGGGAGATGTTAAAAATGTCTGTGAGGACATCTGTGAGCTCTTCTGCGCAGTCCCTCAGCACACGACCAGGAATGTTGTCAGGTCCTGCAGCCTTGCGGGGGTTAATCCTCAGCAGTGTGCTCCTCACACTGGCTGGTGAAAGACGCAAAGCCTGGTCGTCGGTGGGGGGGGTGGTTTTCTACGCAGGTGTGTTGTTCTGTGCTTCAAAGTGTGCAAAGAAGCCGTTGAGGTTGTTGAGCAGGGAGGTATGACTGTCACAGGTCTGTGGCGGTAGTTTGTAGTCCGTTAGGGTCCTTATGCCCTGCCACAGGCTCCGTGAGTCCCTGCTATCCTTGAAATGTCCTGTAATTCCTCGGGTGTATTCTTGTTTTGCTTTCCTGATGCCACGGGACAGGTCAGCCCTGGCTGCTTTCAGCCCAGCTGGATCTCCAGCTCTGAAGGCGATGTTGCGGGCCTTCAGCAGCGTGTGGACCTCCCCTGTCAGCCATGGCTTCTGGTTAGCCCGGATGGTGATGGCTCTGTTTTGTGTCACATCGTCAATGCATTTGGTGATGTAGCCCGTGACTGTCTCGTATTCTTGTATGTTGGTGTGATGGTTGTATGTGGCTGCCTGCTTGAACATGTCCCAGTCTGTAGTGTCAAAGCAGTCTCTGAGTGCAGCTGTGCTGTCCTCTGACCACACCCGAACCTGTTTTGAAACCGGTTTGGTGGCTTTTACCCTGGGTCTGTAGGCCGGTTCCAGCAGAACAGTGAGGTGATCAGAGAGGCCGATGTGGGGGAGGGGGGATGCCTTGTATGCTCCCTTGATGTTGGTATAGACCAGGTCTAATGTGTTTTTCCCCCTGGTTGGAAAATCAACATGCTGATATATTTTAGGCAGCACAGTTTTTAAGTTAGCGTGGTTGAAGTCTCCAGCTACGATGAGTAGGCCGTCTGGGTGTGCTGTCTGTTGCTCACTGACGGCTCGGTACAGTTCACTGAGTGCCTCCTCTCTCCCCTCTTTGCTGGGGTTTGGGGGGATATATACAGCCACCACAAGAATCGCTGTAAACTCTCTCGGCAGGTAAAAAGGACGGCACTTTAGAACCATAAACTCCACCAGTGGCGAACAGTGTTTGCTAACAACAACAGTGTCTCGACACCAAGCGTCACTGATGTACACACACACACCGCCGCCCCGAGTCTTCGTCCCCCCGCTATCTTTGTTTCTGTCTGCTCAGCCATGAACACGTAAACACAGCAGTCCCTCACCTTACGCTGGGTTGATCGTAGTAGACGTACGTTGTCCATCTTGTTGTCCAGTGAACGGACATTTGCCATAAGTAGTGTTGGAATTGCCGGCTTGTGTGGGCTAGCCGCTAGCCTAGCCCGGATACCTCCACGTTTCCCCCTCTTCTGCCTCCTTTCACGCCGCCTTCGGCGTCTCCTTTCCGGGTGGGGCTCGGCACGAGACGGGTAGCAGAGGAGCTCCAGGCAGCTGAGTTCCTCTGCGAGTTTAGCTTCCAAACTGAAGAAAGTAGATATTTTTTCAAGAAGAAACTCACGGCTGTATTGTTGTCCTTTACGATATAAGTCCAACGGACATGACGAACAAAGTGACAAACTCGACAGACTTGACAAACAAGACGAAAACACAGTTTTTTCCAGACCGCGAGGGGCCGCTGCGACTGCTCGCACCGCCATCTGAAGTATGATGATAATGTAAAGGAGGGACTTAGAGTAAAGTTGTTATATATATGTAAAGCTATGTGCTGTATCAGAAACAATGTGCGATGTGTTTTGGAAGTAATATGGTCTGTGTTTACATTAGCAAGCATCGCTAACAATCAGAGCTAATCATGGCAGCGTTTAGCTGAGTATCTGCTGGTAGACAGCCTTCTCTTCACAGAGCTCACTGCTTGCATGCGGACGCTCCAAAGGGGCGTGGCCGGATTGGACCCTCTGGCGGGCCAGTTTGTCCCGTGGGCCATATGTTTGACACCCCTGGCTTAAATGTTCACTTATTTTTTCACCTAGGCAGTTGTGCTTTCGTAGGCAGCAATATGTCATAGGTAGTGAACATTAAAGTGTGGGAGTTGTTTGTTTTGACTTTATTCTAAAATCCCAGCCTATTGTTGTTGACCATAATAGCAGTTTACCATGTTGTCATATAGTTTGTTGAACTAACCTTTGACTCCCACGCCATGCCAGCCATTGAGATACCCAGTAGTAATGTGACAGTAATGATGCCGATGATACGGATGTCATTGGTTCGGTCCACCATGACAGCTCCATGTTCCTGAGGAGGACAGTACGTGAAACTACGTGTGTTTAAACAGAAGGACAAACTGTGTGAACTGTACAGAATCATTGTAAGCTTTGCTCCACATACATGTTCCCTCACAGCAATCTACTTACACTCATGAGGTCTCTTACAGTCTCTGCAAAGCCCACAGTGTGCATGGCCACAGCTACAGCATTTGCAAACGCAAAGATCAGACCGATGGACCCCCCCAGCTCTGGACCAAGGCTGCGACTGATCAGGAAGTAGGTCCCACCTGAAGACAGGAGAAACATTTTTTGTGGGAAATGTGGTCATCAATCACTGTCAATAACGTGTAAAAAGGTCCATATATTCTTATGATATTAGTCCTTCTTTTTGAACAGGTAAACTACATGTGTAGCCAAAGTTGGCTGCATGTTAAACTGAGCACACAGACCTCCTTTGACCTTGCCGTTGGTGGCGATGGCGGAGGTTGAGAGGCCGGTGATCCCAGTGATGAAGGAGGAGAGGAGGATGATCACCCAGGTCAGACCTGACAGAGACACAGACGGAGATAAATCATGTGTCAGATAGACTGAAGCTTTCACAGTCAATAACTGTTTTAGATTTGGTTCAATTACATCTACAATTGACAAAGCAAATAAACATGTTGTGGACGTACCAATACCAGCCTGAGCAGTGATCCAAGTCAGCCTCAAGTACAGGATCACCCCCCAGATGTTCAACATGCAGCGGACCTGAACATGGGCACAGAGTTACTGACACCAAAACCAAAACACATGTTTATATTTATGTATATTTTGTATTTAAATCTTTAACCATAGCACATGTTGTACAGTGCTTACACATTATAACTACTGTTGAGTAGTGATGTGTCGGTCGCGAACGAGCCGATTCTTTTGAACGGCTCTTTGGTACGAACGAGGGGAACCGAGTCCTACTTGGTGAGAGCCGTTCTTGTTATCGTTCAATCGTTGGTCCGCACTCACTGCCTGCCAAAATCCACTCGCCTTTTAAAAAGCTTGATTTTGTTCCCCAAACGTATTCTGTGAAGACCCGCCCCTACTCTGATTGGTAGGTTTCAGCACGAGGAGTGAGGTGGGGTGGGTCTTAACGGAATACGTGAGAGAGAGAAGTCATAACAACTGGTACAGGACAGGTAGACGACGTGTTTTTCGGATGGAAAATGAGCCAAACGCGAAAACGCAGCAGCATTTGGATGCACTTCAACCAAAACCCAGGCAGTGATAAAGCGCACCATTTGTAAAGGCAAAATATCCTTTAAAGCAGGGTCAACAAATAATCTCCATCACCACTTAAAAACACACTACTAATATTAAGAGTTGCATGAATTTCATTCAAGGCAAGGCAACTTTATTTACTTAACACATACAGAGGGTAAATTCAAAGTACATTCACTGACATGATGACATGGATATGGCGCCACCTTGTGTCATGTTTACAATGCCGATTATTGACATTAGGTCTGGCAATACAGTCAATCATTATCCTGGTGATTATTTCGCAGATAAACCTAGTAACCTTAAAAAAACGGCTCTTTTGAACGGCTCTTTTGAACGGCTCTTTTGAACGGCTCTTTGAAAGGAACGGAGCCATAAGATCCGGCTCCCTTCAAAGAGCCATAATTCCCATCACTACTGTTGAGTATTGCTGATATTATGCTCGGATAAAAATTGCCAATACTCCACAATTGTGGTTGCTAAGTTGAACTCGTGCAAGGTTCTTCTGCTGCTCTTGTGTCTTTAAGGGCTTCTTAGTCAGTAGGAGCTGTAATGGAAAGAAAGAAGGACACAGTGTACTTTACAGTCTTTAGCTGCCCAACAATAGGTCAGAGCTCTGGCCCTGATACACCATGTTACTGTAGTGTGACTTCTTAGAGATGTCTTGTTTCTGTATGCATAACACAGGAGTTTACAATAACTACTAACAATTGAACTTGCAATTTTATGAACAGTTTAGTTTGCTGTTTCTTTGTTATTTTATTATTTGTATAGAGCAGTGCTTCTCAAACTTTTTTCAGTAATGTACCCCCTTTGAAACATTTTCTCAGCCAAGTACCCCCTGACCGACCCCGAACATTTTTGATAGAAAAAGCCTATATAAATAATTACAATATAGTGATGTTCCATCAGTGTGTGATTTATGAACTCCTTCATCCATGAATTACAACAAACAAAGAACATAACGACAGATTTTTAAGTAATAATTATATGTTTAATGAACCAATGAACAAAATGTTATATTATGCAAAAACTATAAAATACAATAAACAAATATTATAATAAAATGTGGTGCCTGATGTGCTACCGTCCAAAACCCCATGCATAAACAAGAAAACAGCATTAAATAAGCAGTCACAATGCATGAAAGGGTTAAAAACAAAACAAAACATTGGAACAAAAATGTGCAATTACAATAAAAACTACGTAATAACACTGCAATGACACTATTCATGAGTTTTAGGTGCATTAAACTGCATTTGAAAATAGAAAATACAATTTAGTGTCAAAACATAGGCAAAAAAAACAAACAATTGTAATAATAAATTAATTATAAATTGCAATAACACTAACAAGTAATAATAAGAGCACTTTAGCACTCAATTTAGTGTGAAACGTGTGCTTGTCCTTCACTGAGGATCTTGGTCATCCTTGGTGGCAGAGAGGACACAGCAGTGATCAGACTCTTTTCCAGGCCCAGTCTGTTTCTCTGCTTTGTTTTGATCAGAGTCATTGCAGAGAAGGAGGCCTCACACAAATATGTGGATCCAAAGGGCAGTAGCTGCTCCAAAGCTGTTTTTCCCAGCTCAGGATGCTCCTTTTTCACACACACCCAAAACTGCGTGAGAGTGGAGTTTTCAAATGTCACCTTTAGGCCGCGGTCAGATGACACATCCAAGAGTTTTTCCTGGTGACAGAGAGGAAGCTTTTCTCTGTTTGCTTCTGACAGAAGAAATGGGTTTCTTACCCAATCAAGCTGTGCAGGTTTATCCTCCATGTCAGGAAAGTACGACTTGAAACTAACTATCAGGTTGGCCAAGTGTTCCTCTATAATGGACTTGACTGGAGCGCTCTGCACATCCTCACTGGAGAGGAAAGCATCTACCTGAGGAAAGCAGGTGAGATCCCCCTGTGCACATGCCCGTTTCCACAACTCTGCTTTCTTTACGAAACCACCCACCTTGTCATACAGGTTCAGAATGTTGGTGTTCTTTCCCTGCATGCACACATTCAGCTCATTCAATTTGCTGAATATGTCTGCCAGATAGCAAAGCTTTGCAAGCCAATCTGTGTCCTCAAACAGTGTGGCATAGGGAGATCCTTGCTCTGACAGAAAGGTGGGCACCTCCGATCGTAGCTCCAACAGCCTGCTCAGTATCCTCCCCTGAGAGAGCCAGCACACTTCTGTGTGTAGCAGTAGTTGGGTGTGTTCAGCTCCCATGTCCTCGCAAAGGCGGTGAAACAGACGCGCATTGAGTGGCCTTGACTTTATGAAGTTAATCACTTTGATGCTGTTGTTCAAAACGTCATGCAACACAGGACTTAGCTTTTTGGCCGCCAGTGCTTCCCTGTGTATGACACAGTGATTCCACTGCACTTCTGGATTTTTATCCCTAATACGTGCCATGAGCCCTTTAAATCGGCCCGTCATTGAGGCAGCTCCGTCAGTACAGACACTCATGCAGTTTCTCCAGTCCAGCTCGTTTTCAATAAAGAAATCATTCACAACATTGAAAATGTCCTCCCCCGTTGTTTTCCCCTCTAAGGTCTTGCAGAAAAGCACATTTTCATAAATGTCGTCAGTATCCACGTATCTCACGAAAGCAATGAGCTGAGCCTTACCGCTGACATCGGTCGATTCATCAAGCTGCAGTGAAAATGTTTCGCCAAGTTTTCCCACAACTTGTTCAACAATATCTGCTCCCATTCGTTCTATTCTGCGTGAAACGGTGTCATTAGAAAGAGGCACCGTTTTGAACTTCTCCGCGGCACTTCTGTGATGGGGGTCTTTGATAATCCGTAGGGATTTCTTCCTGAGCCGCTGGGAGTAAAGGTCCTCCATGGATGGCAGCTCCGTCCTGGTGATGTGCTGTGCAGTTTTCACCACCCTCTGTAAAGCCTTACGATTGAGGGCGGTGCAGCTGCCGTACCAGGCCGTGATGCAGCCAGTCAGGATGCTCTCTATGGTGCACCTGTAGAAGTTGCAGAGTATCCTGGAATCCATTTTGAACCTCCTCAGCCTGCGGAGGAAGAAGAGCCGCTGTCGAGCTTTCTTGGTGATGGTGGTGGTGTGAAGAGTCCATGTCAGGTCCTCAGTGATGTGGACCCCAAGGAACCTGAACCTTTTGACTCTCTCCACCGTAGTCCCATTGATGGCGATGGGGGCGTGTCCCTCTCTCTGCTGCTTCCTGTAATCCACAATCAGCTCCTTTGTTTTGCTGATGTTGAGATGGAGGTTGTTATCCTGGCACCAAGATGTCAGGTTTTCGACCTCCTCTCTGTACGCCGTCTCGTCGTCGTCTGTGATCTGGCCGATGACGGTCGTGTCATCAGCAAACTTCACGATGGTGTTGGAGCTGTGTGTGGCCACGCAGTCGTGAGTGAACAGGGAGTAGAGGAGAGGGCTGAGCACGCAGCCTTGAGGGGCACCGGTGTTGAGAATCAGGGTGGAGGATGTGATGTTTCCGACCCGCACTGCCTGGGGTCTGCCCGTCAGGAAGTTCAGGATCCAGTCACAGAGGGCGCTGTTGAGCCCGAGTTCTCTGAGCTTGATGGCCAGCTTGGAGGGCACAATGGTATTGAATGCTGAACTGTAATCTGTGGTGGCTCTACTCTTCAGCCACCTCCCTTGTGAGTGTGTGTTCCCTTTCCCTGTCTGTGTGGGCGTGGTGGCTGTCACTCCTGGCTCCCGGCTCAATCTCCACCTGCTGCAAATCTCCACCTGGTGCAATCAGCTTTACACACCTGATTCCCATTCAGCCATTTACTAATGGTATATCAGCGGAGGCTCCACAACATGTCAGCGCCAGATCGTTGTTTAATCCCCAGTGGTAACTCTCAGCCTTCTTAGCCGATTTAAAACTATTTCTCTGTACACGGAATACTTTTCTCATCTGTTTCTCTTATGCTCCAGGATCACTATCCAGCCGCCTTGTTACCATCACCTGCCGCCACCAGTCATCATTCCAACCGGATTACTCTCCACACTCACCAGTCTTCATTCCTACAGGATTACTCTCCACGCTCCTCCACCTCACAATAAACCTTTTTCCAACACTCTGCCGTGTCCTGCGTTTGGGTCCTATCGGATATCGTAACAGAACGATCTGGCCCAAGTCACTCACCGCACCAAGCCAGTAAACCTCATTCTGTCTGGAAACCATCGTGAGTTTATTCAGTTTCACCTTATTTCCTCACCTCATGCTCCCATAGTGTTGGGTCATCCCTGGTTAAGAACACACAACCCCCAGATTGATTGGATAACTGGCAAAATCATTAGTTGGAGTTGTTTTTGTTTATCCTCATGCCTGCAGTCTGCCCTACCGCCAGCAGAGGCCGCCGCTCCACCACCCAAGATCGAGCCGCCTGACCTGTTATCTGTCCCCATGGAATATCATAGCCTAGGAGAGGTGTTCAGTAAACAGCGAGCTCTTTCTCTTCCTCCTCATCGACCCTACGACTGTCCCATTGACCTCCTTCCCGGGGCCCCTCTGCCT